ATATATTATTTAAATATTTTTCAAATTAATTATAAACATAATTTATAAATTTCATATAAATTATTAATAATCTTACACTGCAAAATGTGGTCATTGTAAGTGGAAATATTTTTCCTGCAGTGATGCGGACAGGTTGGCTAGCTCGTATCATTAATAAGATAAGACTCTTTGCATATTGTGGTTCTAATTTGTACCATTCAAGATCGCACAAAGCACGATATACTTCCTCGCACTTAACGTAAATATGTATAATAATGTATTGATATATTATATTAACTACATACTATATATACTGTTATAAAATATTTATATAAAGTACATTAAAAAATTTGTATCTTACTTGCACTGTTATAATCTCGCCGGCACCGCAATAAAGGAAAGTATGCGAAAGCAAAATGGTGATACCAATTAATGGAAAACATAATCGTGCGAAAGAAAAATCACTTCCTTCGGTAATCACCTGAATAATATACCTTAATAATTAATAAAAATTAATAAATCCTAGATGGTACATCAATAATCTGCATACTTCGAAACAAAAAATGAGATAATTAAAAAAACAAAAATATATAACTAATATTCGTAATTGGCATTATGTTTAAACTTACAGTAAGTAATAAGAATCCATGTAGACAAAATACAATGCCAAAATAAAATACTAAACCTAACATCATAAAGGTAAAGGTATTTTCAATAATACCAGCGAATCTATAACAATTTTAAAAATTACATGATTAAGTTCGTTACATATATATAGTTCTTTATATATACAATAATAAGTAAAAAAAATTACTAGATTAATATATATTAGATTAAAATTAAACAAAATTATTAGATTATTAGCTTGTTAAAAATACAAAAACTGTTTTTTACATATAAATTTATACGGAAGTATACTATTTTTCAAAATATAAACAATTAATAATCATTTGCTATCAGTTCTGGAACTGTTGGATTTAATCTTGATACCATTTAGACAAAGAAGTCACCACTACGTCAACTTGCTCAACAATTTTAACTCTATGTTCTCGAAAGCTTTATTGAACGAAATACTGTAGTTAAACAGTGCAAGATCAGGATCGTATGCAAAATGGAGTAGAATCTCAATTACGTCTAGACAAATGGTACGAGACCAAATCCGGCAGCTAACAGAATGGTAAGTTATTGAATGAATAAATGGTTTTTATTTTGAAAAATAATTTAAAAAAAATTAATAAATTTTTGTGTAAAAATTGTTTTTATATGTAAAAGGGCATTCAGAATTATTTTAACAACCAAATAGTAATGTTTTGTAAAAAAATCTTTTATATATTTTCTCAATGAAATATGACAGAAAAGTAATTATAAAGTACTTATCACATACTTCAACGAATCTTAATAAATATTATTTTATATAGTTATTTTTTAATATTTTCATCATTTTTTTACAATACTAATAATATAAAATTAAAAATAAAAATAATATTTTTTATTATTAAATTAATTTTACTAACAAATTATTAAATAATTTTTTATTACAGGATTTTTATTTGTAGTTGAGTTTTACTTGCAATTATATAATTATATAATGACGAATATAATTATATGTGTACATGCAAATACCTGATAAGCCGTATATGAGTCATTATGTTATGACTCAGAATATAGATAAAATTTTGGCATGAAATCAAACTAGTTATATGGCTTTTGAAGTTTTCCAATTGACCACTGAAGTGAAGAATTGAGAGTCCAAGAAAAGCATCTACTGAAGTGTAAGTTACAGCGGCTAAGAACACTGTAATAGCTTGAATAATATATGTTAGTTCAAATTGCGGACTCTTATCTACATCATAAAAATAATAAGTCTGCAGCGGCAGCGGCTTGCCCGGATCCGTCAGATTTGTCAAACGCCTTAACGATAAACCAAAATAAGGAAGAATGATGACCATAATAAACGCCAATACCATGAGAATGTATCCACTGATGACAATAATTCTAGCAATTTGTGCTTGCCTCATCATTACATCCCTTTCCTTTCTTGTCTTCAATTCCATCCAGTCTTCCGCCATCATTTTTATGATGGATACAAGTGCTTTGAAATATAGCAAAATAATCACATGTAGAACTGTCACATATTGTTTCTTGTTTTAAAGCTATGACAAGTACCTTTAAATATACGTTACGTTTCATATTTTTTGTACAATAAATAAACTTTCTTCATATCTTCGTGCTATATATAGATATAATTTCATCTGTACCTGTTCGTTTATATCGCATAACAACAAGTTTCAACGAGACTACCAGCAAAGGTAAAGTAACTTGGAGATTGTCTACCATAAGTAACACGTCTCCCCAAACTCGTATAAGGGAGCAGATGAGAGGTATACCAGAAATAAATGTTACTATAACGAAAATAATAATCACACGGAGATCGGAAGAGAAGTTATTTTTGAGTATTTCATCGCTCTTGGGCCATAATCCGATTAGTTCTAAACCCAAGCGATTTAATTTAATCGCCCACGTAAAATCTAGTTACATATTAAGATTAAGAGTTTATCAAAATTTATGACATCTTGAGATAACAAATCCAAAATTAAAAATTCAAAACATCGATGTTGAAGTTTTTAATTTTATAAACATGTGTAATAATTAGAATTATAAAACATTACAAAAATATAGCAATTAAATTACTATATTTTTACATATTGGCATAATAGATCGGGATTACATGTAAATATTTTGGTTTTGTCTAAATCGTAATATTTTTTAATTATGAATTTGTAATAATAATATTAAAAAATATTACAATTTAAACGTTACTTAGAAAAATATTTACATATAATTTCAACCTATTAAATATTTATTTTAAAATACAAGAATTTTTTCTCTTTTAAAAAAATATATAATAAACGTTCGATACCTTTATACTGTGAATGTTTGGCAATGTCCATGCCGAAGACTAATGCGAAGATCCTCATCCCACTTGTTATAGTAATGCAAACCATGATTATCACGCATGCCCATGATACGAGTACAACAACCTGGTTGTTTCTCCGAAGAATGCATTAAATATTACAAATGCTACTTCCAATTGATAACAGCTGTTTTGTTTCGTTTCAAAACTTTACGAATAAAAAAGTAACGTGATTATTACGCATGCTGACGATACGAGTGTAACAACCTGGTTGTTTCTCCGAAGAATGCATCAAATATTATAAATGCTACTTCCAATTGATAACAGCTGTTTCATTTCGTTCCAAAACTTTAAGAATAAAAAAGTAACGTTTACGCTTCTAAGAAGAAAGGGTATCGTGCTGTATATGACATCTATTATCGCCACTCCTCGAACTGTACGCTAAAAGTTTCTTCATACTTTGTAATACAACGTATCCATCTCGTATTTAGAGATGTATGTGTATTAGTGTTTTAATACTTTTGCAGAAAGGCCGTAGTATTCAAAAAAGTTTAAGACAAAAAGGGCGATACGAAAAAAAAAAGTAACATTCTATAAGCTATACAATTACTGCGAATAACCATCGAAAAGACATAGATATTTCTTAATAATACTAAGTAAATAAATGTGCATTATCAAATAAATGTATAATATTAATAATATTATTGCTAATATTATCGTGTCTAAAGAAATTATAATATATATAAAGATACAATATAATATGAAATAATAAATATAACATCTATTGTATGATAAATATAATATGTATTTAATGTTTATATTAAAAGTGTTTACTCTTTTTAAAAAAATATATTAATTTAAGATGTCATATAAAATAAGAAACATTGAATTAAATAATGTAAATATTTTCTTTCTTATTATTTATATTAAATCTCTATTACATCTATACGTAATTTCTTAAATGATTTTTATATCTACGCTTTTCATAAATCTTCCGGTATAGATATATTGTTCTAGGATAATTTGGTATCTTCTTCATCTTTGATTTGCTAATAGAAATGATATGTAACCAGCCGATGTTTTTAACAACTGTAACATATATTTTTTATACATATATGATAACATAAATTACAGAATAAAGTTTTTAAATTTAATTGATTAATATACAATTAAAAAATAAAAAGATATTACTTTTTGTTGAAATAAATGTAAATATTTATTTATGTATTATTTTATTATATTACTTTGGTATTTATATGTGTAAGTAATTAAGTATTCTTTTAATTTAGAAATATCCATACTAAATTCTTAATGCAAATGAAACAGCTTAGCTTGTTTTTAATATCTGTTAAAAATATGCATAATCTAATAATACAAATAGTCAAAATTAATTTTTAGATTAACAAAAGTAATTTATTTTTACTAAGTTATTAATAATCTTACACTGCCAAACGTGGTCATCGTAAGTGGAAATATTTTTCCTGCAGTAATACGGAAAGGTTGACTAGCTCGTATCATTAATAAGATAAGACTCCTTGCCTTTTTTGGTTCTAATTCGTACCATTCAAGATTGCATAAAGCATAGTATACTTCTTCGCACTAAATATGAATATACATATATAAATATTATATATAATATATATACATACATGTATGTTACTGTATATGTTCACACATGAATATATACAGACTATATATATATGTCCCAGACCTACATCTCTTGTGAGCAAGTAGAGCGGACTAAGAATAAAGAAGTTACATATCATTTTGCAATTTTCACGATAGTTAATGAGATATTAATTTCTAAAAGATCACAGAATAAATGTGCGTATCCGTCCAGCCTATCATCAAATGCAAGCATGCAGTGCGATATGTGACCGCTTAACGCGAGGAGATATTTTCTTACATTGCTTCTACGTTGCCAAGGTTGATTGGTAAACAACTTCTCACATGTCTAGCAACTTAAGATAATAATTAGTCCTATCTCGTTATGCGCTTATAGTTGGCCGTGCTATTCATCGATTTTTAGAAATTAATTATTAAAAATTGTAAAATGATACAGGACTCTTTTACTTACAACTAATTCAGTCCGTTCTATCTGTTCACGAGAGGTGAGTCTATAGGTTTCGAGCACTCTGTATAATGACATATACGTATATGTATACAGGATGACATTAGGTGTATTATCATTATTCATAAATAGGTAGAGAGGAACTAAAAAGTATCATTTTGCAATTTTTGCAATCAATTAAGATATTAATTACTAAAGATCGTCTAATAAACGCGTATTCCATCTGGCGTGGTGAGATACGTTCGCCCAACAATGATGCGAAATGCCAGTCCGCTTGCAGTATGTTTAATAGTATGAAGAAGGGCATAGGTGGGTACGCAACGTACGTGCAAGTATATACGGATATGGACTCATCATAGTGCATGTGCCCTCTTATGTCTTTTTCATACTATTAACAATGCTGCAAGCGGGATGAAATTCGCATCTATCCCATCCAATGCTCGTGATGGCAGTCTTCTGGCGCGAAGCGCGTCAAGACTGTCAAAAGAGGAGTTGTTTAATACTAACGCCAGGCGACTGCAAGCGCAATTTGTGCATCTCATCGCACGCTTATGGTGCAAATAAACCGAGCAAATACAGGTTTATTCAGTAACCTTTAATAATTAATATCTCAGTA